AACCGTAGATATATTTGGATCAAGGAGAAAAATTCTACAATAAAGTTCCTGGCCTCTTTTCATTTGGCCGACGTTCTTCTTCCTGTCGAAAAACCAAATTTAGGGAAGAATGAAAATTGAATTGAATTAAGTTAACGGCCATGGAGATCGAGCGGTCTTAAAGAAAATTTGTCATTCCTTCTGTACACTTCGCTTGAGGGAGGAAGAGGAATTCCCGAAATGCGGGAACTGTAACGTCGAACTAGCTAAAGTTAATTATCGCCCAAGTCCCCTCTCCGCGCCAATGGGGGTGCCCCTTGTGACTCGACGGACTCGCGCGCGGAGCGCCAGTTAAGACGCCAACGGCGTCGCCGCTTCGGGGGCACTGGGGGCCGGCTGGGGGCCGCGGCCGGAGGGGCGTCCCGAGTGCGTATTGATCGACCGGCCGTCCCGACGCCACCGACGGCGCACCGTCGGGACGTTCGCCTACTCTGCGGGACCGTAATCCTCGGGCCGGGTTAAGATCGTATCTGAGATTTTCTTTTTATATTTTTCTAGAATATTAATGAATAGTACACGTTATTCGTATTCAATGTCTTTGCGAAAAATTCCGGCGCTATTATTAACCCTTTGCACTCGAAGACTTTGCCATTCCAGTTGTCAGGGGCGATTGACAAGGAAGGTATCCCACGTCGATTTCTCCGATTTGATTTCTTTTATAATATGTTATAGTAGACTAAAAACTAAGCGACACGTATTTTTTTTTATCTGCCATTAAACACTTTAAGGGAGTGAAACCACTATCCAAAGTAAGGCCTGTGAGTGGTGGCTCACTTCTTAATTTTTTTTTTTTAATTGAGGAAATTATGTTTTTCATTTCTTCCTATGAGAAAGCTTTTCCAGGTGGATTGGTTAAAAAATATTATGTTCTTGTGGGTGACACTGCCAAATCGCCCCTTCACATGCCTTACTTTGGATGATGGTTTTACCCCGTTAAAGTGTTTAGTGACAGATTAAAAAAAATACGTGTCGCTTAGTTTTTAGTCTACTATAACATATTATAAAAGAAATCAAATCGGGGAGATCGACCTGTGATACCTTCCTTGTAAGAGTCGCCTCTCGAGTGCAAAGGGTTAAGGAGTGAGCGAAATGGCAACGCGTTTCGGTATTAGTGAGATACTTTATAGATTTCAAAAGAAAAGCAGGTTTCAGAAGCCCCGCTTCGAGAATTGATGAAAAAAATGTTTTCAATCGTTTCCCGTTTTTTCTTTCGCTAATAAAAATATTCAATCTTTGTTTGAAAAGTGCCTACGCTGCTGATGGAGCTATAGTTTTCTCTCTCCCGCTTCCAATAGAGTAATCGGATCGAGACGTTTCATTTTTCACTTTTGCGGGAAGGCATTCCCCGGGTCCCGAAAACAAACCCCCGTGGTCTCCTCACTTGGGGGTCTCTCAAATCGGTGGTCTAGATCGCTTCTTTCCTTACCTTTTTCAATAAAAAAGTTCAATGTCTTCTTGAAAAACGCCCCGCCACCCTGCAGTAAGCGGAACGACGTTAAACTTTTCACTTTTGCGGTGGGGCGCTCACGAAAACAATCTTCAGTAGTCTCCTCACTCGGGGAATATTCACGATCCCATCGATGTTCGGGATCGCTTTTTTTGTTTCCTTCTTTAATAAAAATATGTAATGTCTTTGTAAAAATTCCCTACTCTCCCGTCTTGGAGTAAACAAACCTACGTTTCCATTTTTGCTTTGCAACGAAGTATTCTCACGTTTCCGGCGACAATTTTGTAGAATCCCCTTGATCAATGCGTAAAATTGCTTTTCTAGATTCCATTTTCAATCAAAATATTTAATGTCGTTCTGAAAAAAGAACATTCTGCTCTCCTAGAGTAAACGGAACGAAATGCACCTTTCCATTTTTGCGGTGGGGCATTGACGTGTTCTCCGTACGATCTTTTCGCTTAAAGATGATCGATGCCTGGGATCACATTTTTCATTTCCATTTTCTATACAAATATTCTCTCAAAAAATGATCATCCTGCCCTCCTGAAGTAAACAAATCGAAATGTACGTTTCCACTATTGTAGTGTGGCTTTCATGTGTTCTCGAAAACAACCCTCTAGGATGGCCTGGTGCGGAAGAGTCTTCTGGTCGATGTCGCCCGGAAGTTCCGAGAGCCAGGCCGGAACCGTCCCGCAACCGGTCCGGAACCGCCCGGAAGGATCGATCGGCCTCTCGTTCCCGCGAACTCACGCTTTACCACCTGGCGAGCTTCCAGCGCGAGTCGTTAACGGACTGCAACGCTTTGCATAAGACCGCCCTTTTAACGCCGATCGAGCATTTCGGTGCAATGAGAAGAAAGAAACAAAACGTGACTCCTAATCCACAAGAACCGTATTTTCCTATCTAATCTACAGAATCGTCAAAAAAGAACACGGTGAACCTCCGACCACCCAATGGAATTTTCTTCGAAACTTCCGAAAAATCTGCAAACACGATATTGCGAACTCGAAATCCGCGGTAGTGAAACGAATTCGTTTGTGGGGAACTTGTTGAATGGACCACCCGGCATTTAAACGTCAGTGGCTTTTTTGTCGCTTTTGATGGATTTTGAGGTAAAAACTTGAGGTCGAATTGTTTTTCTCGATGGATTGGAGGGCCAGGAGGTACCAAAAATTTGGTTTTTGATTACTGATAGAAACGATCGCAGATTTGCATCTAAACGAGGATTTAGTGGGAAGGGCGTCTCGAGGTGACCTGTCGCCGAGAGACGTGATTAAGGTCGGCGATTGCTGGAAGGTCGTCTTCTTGTCTCCTGGTCTCAAACAGGTGTCGTGGCGTTAGAGGAGACTCTGGTATGCTAATGCTCGCGCGATCGTCGATACAACTTCGGATTCGGTCCCTGGAATGCGGTCCAGCGACTTGCAGGTGCAAGTGCTCGACACATTTAACAAACTTGAGAATCTATTTCACGTAATTTTACATCAAATATTCCTACGGCGAATCAAAGTTAATCCGTTCTTACGAACCCCCTTGATACAAATTATCGATCTCGATACACGTATCTTGAATTGTTTCCAATTTATGCACTCGCCAGCACGGATGTGGTCGGTGACGACGAAAAAGTGGGAAATATTAACCGAGAATCCGGTTTTTGGAAATTCCTTGAAAGAATATCCTTTTAAAAGGATGCCAGGACCTTCATCGATTTTCATCGCGGAGGAGGTCTCGAGGGTGAAGTTTAGAGCCGGCCGGGGATCCGAAAGCGGGTTGGCCATTTTCATCGTAATTTGTTCCCAGAAAGCCTTTCTCGACTCGTGCGCGGAATTCTCCAGCCAGGAAGTACCAGGACTACATGTGAAGAAAAGGCGAGAAAAGATTAAGGTGGTGACCTTAATCTTTTCTCGCCTTTTCTTTCAGAAGGTGTCCTCCATAAAACCGAGGCGAATCCTTGACTCGTTCTTCCATTAGCCCTCGACCTCGGCGAAGCGTTCGAGGCAATTTGGAAAAAACTAAAATCGAACCACCCTCTGACCTCGAAGTTCTTCGATCTGTCCCTGACAATCCCAGGACTTGAAGAGACCTAAAAGAGACCTAAGGATATCAAGAATATATTTAGAACATGATAAAATAACAGGAATTGATTGACGTAAGACGGTTCGACTGCATTAAAAAATCGCACTCAGGAACTCGATAACCTTTTGCAGAACGCGACGAAGCGAGGCTCATGGACTGGAAACAACCATTTCCTCCCGAAGTGAAATACATATTAATGATAATAATTCTAAAAGGAAGCGTTGCAATGATTCAGAAAATGAGATAAAAATGTGAATCTTGTAATTCTTTTTTATTCAGAAAAGAGAGCGAAATTGGTTAATCGGGTGACTCGAAAACGGAACTCTTCTAACCAAGGGAATTTCATTGCATCTCAGATCGGTACTCGGTACTCGCCGTTCAACCAGCTGCGAAGTATAGAAACCAGCTGGCAAATTGGAAACAGCTGAGCGCTCTCTTCGGGACTCATTTCGCCTCCGAGCCGAAATTCGTCGAACATCTGTCTGGCCGAAGTTCGTGGAATTACGGGGGTGTATTTTATTAAAGAAAGTTGAAAGTCGATTTTCCAAGCAGAGGCGCTTAGAGCTCTCGCCCCACTGCTGGCTTTAATGGAAGGAAAGAGGGAAAAAGCTCGTCGGAAAGTCGGTAATCCAATGGCCGGTGTATCGCTCGAAAGGAACGAGACTTCTCGTGTTCTCGAGGCTCGAAAACGCGATCAACCGGAGGCCCTTGGCACGCCTTGCCGGAATTAGCCACTAAACCGTCCAACTAATCCCTCAATTACCCCATACCAACGATACTAAAATCCACCGATCGCTCTTTCCAACGATGGACTTCCTATCGGGATCGAAAACGACGCGGAATGAGGAACGACTCGCCGGTCGATCATCGATAAATGGCAGCGCGATTGTGCTATCGGATCGCTCGCAGCACCGATCGTCGGAAAATCTAAAAGTGACAAAAAACCGCAGCCCCCAGTCGAGAATAATAACGAACAGATGACTAAATTAAAAATGTAACGTCACACGTTCTAGCGTGACGGTCGATCTCGTTGCAAATAATTCGCTATTAATATGCCACCAGTGAAGTTATCCGATATCGTTTCTACCCTCGCGTAAATACACCATCAAATTAGTAATAATATTGATATAATAATAAAGAGAGGAATAATATTACAATCTCGTGCCGGTGTTTCGTTACTGGAAATAGATTTGGAACACGCGAATGGTAAAATAAGTAAATAAACGATAACGAGCAATGGAGTTGCTTTATTATATGAAGAGGTCGTATCGCGTTTCACAGTGAAAGATTGTCTTAAAATTGAGGACTAATGGTTCGGTTAATTGTCTCGGAAAATGAAAATACGCGGGGAGAAATTCGTAATTTTCTCAGGGAAATCGGAGAACGTCGAAGGGCAACGTTTCGGGAAAAAGCCTGTAACCCTGGTGCACCTGTGATTCAGATACAGCGGCGAGGGTGCGGTGGAGGAATCGACGCTGGTCGACGACACCCTCAACGGAAACCCTCGATCGGGGTCATCCGACCTGGTGAAGCCTCCCCTGGCCGAGCCCTTCGGCCAGATCGACGATCGCACCAAGGGCCATCTCTTCAAGTACGTACGTTTGCGACGTCGTACGCTTTTTTTATCCCAAAAATGGACTCAATGGTCCCAACTCGAACCTCTCGTAATTCTACAACAGAACAAGGTTACCACAGGGAAAATTGCGTCGTTGTGGCGAATTGACATTATTTTCATTTTCTAAATTTCCTGCTAATTAATGTTAGTACAGAATTACTACCAGCAATTGTTCTAAAGCAAACATTGTGCGTGATTGCACTCGAAAATGAAATTTCTCGGTAGCGCAGGTTCGAATTTAATTGGGCAGGTCGATTCGTAGATCGGGTTCACCGTGCAGGAAAATGTCTACATGCAACAGTGTGTGCATAATTAATTGCAGTCGCGATCGATCGTGACAATCGCGGTAATTTTCCACTCGGGGAGACCCGAGGAGAGAAACGGTGAGGCCTCTGTAATAAATCTGAAATTAATTGCTGGGCTTAATTGCCATCATCGGGGGATTATTGAACGCGTTTTCTGGGTTCGATTCTACCGGTATGCGGCTGGCTCGACTTTTGAAAGTTGTTTTTTAGGGGAAAGGAAGGTTGCGAAAATTGATCCTCGGCGACGATCCTCATCTCGGAATTCACTCGACCGGCCTCACTTATTTTAAGCGATTTGCTGGCGAATTCTTTTTTCGATTCATTCAATCCAAACTGCTTGAATCATCACTTTTTCCAGCTTTTCATTCTTGTATTAGATATTGCTTCACTCGCGCATCCGGTGTTACATGAAAATTGATGCTCCTCGAAATTTTGTAAGAATCAGATTAAATTTAATTCCTCTTAATCTACATGCTGGTTATTTTTAGCTGTATCTCTTCAATTAACGTCGAAACTGTTCTACTGAATGTTTGCGATGTAGATGCACGTGTGAAAATAAGTGTACACATATGGCATCAAGATGCATTAAATTGATCAAAAATGAATTTCGCCGATCGATTTTTACCCTTAACAGGACACGGAACTAAGGGAGGTGTCCTGGGATCGGGAGCGCAGAATCGAGCGAATGTTTCATTCACGAGGTGCATTTATCAAAGGAATAATCGGCGATTTTCTCGCGACTAGCGAGCCGACATCAAAGACCCTTTGTAATCTTTGCCTCAGCCAAGTTTAAATGGTTTTGCGCCCGGCAACGGGACTCGTGACTCGCAAAGTCGAGTCGTCGCTGGTCAAAGGAGAGTAGCGTTTTCAGCGTGACTTCCAACCAAACGAGCTCCCGCTCTTTCTTCTTTCTCGCCCTTTTGAAATTCAATCCCGAGTCGCATCCACGAGAAGTTGGAAGAAACCGAATGTTCTCCTCGCTTTTTAAGCCAGCCAACGCCGCGATGCTTCATTCCCGAGAAAATATCTTCAGAAGAAGGCGAGAATGTGATTGAGGGGTGATCACTATAGAAAAAAACCGATCAATCCGGAGATGGATTTCGTGTGAATATTCAGCCTCATACTTGACATTCTCTGATCAGGATCTCCATCGTGTATTTCGATATTTCCTCTGCACGGTGTCCTAAATTTGTGCAAGTTCATCCCCGTGAATATCCTGCGGCATATCTTTATTTCTTTTAATGTATAAGTATACACAAAATGTATACTTATTGATTAAATAAAAATAGTTAACGGTAATGGTAAGTTCTTAGCGACGTTTGACGCCAAGCGCAACGAAGGAAGGCTGCGTTGCAAGTCAATCGATGTCTCGATGTCAAGGGCAGTTAATTCAACGTAATGGCAGGGCAATTTCATTCCAAGGATTTTTGACGGCCTGTTAACGACGAACCTGTACGTTCCCGTGTGTGTAAAATCACGAACCGATATTTTGCCGATATTCCCTTCTCCACCGGGATTGCAACTTCGGTAGCGTAACTGCACACATCCTTCCGTCAATCGAAAAAACCGACATTAACCTGCCCCAAAGACAGAATCCACCCTCGGTTCCCTCGAATTCCGTCAATCAAAGTGATCCCCGACAAGGCCAGGCACTTCGCCCGAAGAAACGGGGGAAATAATCGCAATGTCTTTTTCTACCATCCGCGAAGCAACGAACACTACCAAAGATCTCAGGATCTTGCCTTGCGAAACTTACCAAATCGTATTCTGGATCCCTGAAACGGACCATCTTTGAATTTGTGGTACAAGACTATGAGTTTGTGATGAATTAATACCTAATGAAGTCGAAGCTTGGTTGGAGCGGTGTAGAAGGGTCTCGGAAAGATGTAATCTGAGAGAATAGATAACGTTTGAATATTTTTATACAAATACGTTTGTTAAGTTGGGTGTTCATTTTAGTAATACATGTTCCTTTTTTTTCTTATTGAAGGTACTGTGAAAAGGCCGACAACGAGAACACGGAAATGGGAGGTGTGCCGCACGTCGAGGGCGGCCTCAACAGCGAGCTCTACGCGGTTCCGGTGAAGCGTCGCCAGCCGAAGGAGCAAAAGAACGCGTCCTCGCAGCAGAACATCGGAGAAAAACCTCCAACGAATATCGAGGTGGATCCGGTGGACTCGGAGGGCAAAGACGAGAACCTTCCCCCAGGATGGGAGAAACACGAAGGTTGGTGGTCGATAAAAAAGGAATTCCAGTACGAACTTATTCAATGGCCGACGTAGGTCGTGGCACTGTTGTTCGCGTCCTGCGATCCTTGCGAACGCGTCGAATGGTTATCGACGAGGTCCTTTTTCTGCATCCCAATAAAGAATTTTTCAGTCCTCGCGAATGTATCGAATAGTCACCGATGAGGTCCTTTCTTTGCATTCCGATAAGGAATTTTGCGATCCTCATGAATGCGTCGAATAGCCACCGACGAGATCCTTTCTCTGCATCCCGACAAGGAATTTTACGGTCCTCCTGAACGCGTTGAATAGTCACCGACGAGATCTTTTCTCTGCATCCTGATAAGGAATTTTGCGGTCTTCGCGAATGTGTCGAGTAGTCAACGACAAAGACCTTTCTCTGGATTCCGATAAGGAATTTTGCGGTCCTCGCAAACGCGTCGAATGGTCACTGACGAGGTTCTTTTTCTGCTTCCCGATAAAGAATTCCGAGCAACAGGTGACCAAGTTCCCAATGATTTCAGACAACGACGGGCCTTACTATTGGCACATCAAGAGCGGCACCATCCAGAGGGAACCCCCGGAGGCCCCCTTGAATTCGAAAACGGAGTCCCGTAGGAGTCTGGTCAAGGACAACGAGAGCGTAAGTCTTCCTTATCGTGACGGGACGTTGATAGATTTCCTTGGTGGATTTTTAAGTAGAGTCCTGAAGTTTCTTTTTGGTTTCAGATAAATAATTTCCACTCGTTGGGAGGGATGGTGAACACGGTGACCAGGAGCAACACAAGCTCCGCTCTGGACCAGGATCTGGAGAACAAGAGGAAAGAGGAGTTGGCTTTGAAGTGAGTCTCGTCAGGCTTTCGGCTTTCGAGATATTGATTCTAAAGGTTAACCATGGGTTCATTGTATTCCGGGATTATTTTTTCCATCTAGGAGACGAAGTTATCCTGCCAGGGCTGATTCCGAGGGCAGAGACAAGCCTATCAGGTTTGCGGTACGGTCCCTGGGCTGGACGGAAATTGCAGAAGAGGATTTGACTCCGGATAGGAGCAGCAAGGCCGTTAATAAATGCATCGTGGATCTCTCTCTGGGAAGAAACGATCTTTTGGACGTAGTTGGTCGGTGGGGCGATGTAAGTACACGGTGCGTCGGTATTCGAACTCGTAATGATGTTTATGATGCATCATTTTATAGGGCAAAGACCTCTTCATGGATCTGGACGAGGGTGCGCTCAAGCTGATCGACCCTGAAAACCTCACAGTGCTGAACACTCAGCCCATTCACACCTTGAGGGTATGGGGCGTTGGCAGAGATCACGGCCGGTAAGATAACTCTAAAGTTTCTGGATATTTAAGGTAGACCGTTCAACTTTAAGTCGCGCTAATGCCTGATCGAGGCTTCTACCTTAAAGCATTATCGAGAAAAAAAGAGAAGGTCATTAGGTGAAGTTTCTGTGCTAATCTTAGCATTTCTTCTATGTCTGGCTACCTTATGGATCCAACAGCGAGAGGTAACTTTCCATAATCGACGTCTTATGAATCCAGGAAATGTGGGAATTTGACACAGTGGCAAGGTGAATTCCATGGAAACATTGCATACATCTATCGAGTCAAAAGAAAGATATCCAGTTGCAATTAAATATACAATCGAGTCAACGTGCGAGGACACGAGTTCGCCACCGTGACAAATTGCTTTCTTTCCTCGAAGAGCTCTCGATCCCCGAGGACCAATTCGATAGTACCGCTGAAGAAGCCGCATCTCCTTGCGGAACCCCGAGGTCCATTTACGACTAATTAACCGTTATTTCAGGGACTTCGCATACGTAGCAAGGGACAGGACAACGAGGAAGCACATGTGCCACGTCTTCCGTTGCGACATACCGGCACGCACGATCGCCAATACCCTACGCGACATCTGCAAGAAGATCATGATCGAGAGGTCATTGCAGCAGAACCTCGCCAAACCGGTGGACATCAACGGGAGAACGAGTTTGGCAACGAGGCCGACAAATCTGCCGACGGAGCACCGACGGTTCCACAGAAACGGCCAGGCGCTCGTCAGTGAGTATCCCCTTGACAGGAGAAAAACCTGAAGAGGTCCCTGAGGGCCTCAGCGAGCGCACCGTGTGAAGCATCATGGAACCAGATTTCTCCAGGAGTCCGAAACCGGGAAACGAACGCGAAGAATTTGCCGTTAATAGGCTTCGATTTAAAATAAACGCCCTAATTTAATTTTTCTTCCTTCAGCGCAATCTTTCCCGACTCCGATGGAAGAGCCGAAGAAAGTCCTACGAGCTCAGTATCTTGGCTCGATGCAAGTGTCTCAGGCCATGGGCATCGAGATCGTAAACGACGCGATAGACCATCTCGTAACGAACACCCCATCCAATCAGTGGAGGAACGTCAACGTCGCGGTTGCACCCAGCATGATCTCTATACAGACGCCTACAGTAAGTTGAGGACGACCCGGTCCCAAGTATAGAAGCGTTTTGTCAGGAATCTCCTAACAGGGGGAGAAAGGAATCCCTGGAAGAGAATCTCGAGCTCAATGGAATATATTTTTTAGGACGACAAATTGATAGCCGAGTGCCGAGTGCGTTTTCTCTCCTTCCTGGGGATCGGCAGAAACGTCAAGCAATGCGCCTTTATCATGCACACCGCTCAGGATCTCTTCATCGCTCACGCGTTTAACTGCGAGCCCAGCAGCGGTGCCCTTTGCAAGACCATCGAAGCTGCCTGCAAGGTACCATTTATCGACATCTTGGGACAAGCGTTTCCCGGCGAATTAAATTACTCCGTTTACCGTCTGGATTGGGATTCGACTTTCAGTTGCGGTACCAGAAGTGCTTGGACGCCCATCCCCAGGGTTTTCGTAACGCGAGCGGTCTGAACACTCCCAGCGGTCGAGGTCTGGGAGCCACTATCAAATCCCTCGTCGGATCTCTGACCGGCCGGCGAAACAAACAGGGCGAATCCTGAGATGAGGCTCTCTCGCTGCAGGTGAGCAGCACATTGATTCCGGAAGAAGGCGATTATCAAGCAAATCTTTTGCTTCTTCGGGGTTAGGAACTGATCCGGCTCCTTGGGTATCACCTCGTGGATCACCCGGGAACTTTGGCTCATCGATTTCTCTACGTCCACAGGAACTGTGGCCACTACCTGCCGAGCGAGAGGTGATCCGACACAGACATCTGCAATCGCCGCTGACGCTGAAGTATTTCGAAGGATCTCCTCCGAGCGCCTCGCTGAGGTCGCTGCTCTCGCCATCCCTGGACACGAGGCGCATTCAATTGGCCCGCTGGGAGAGCAACCCGTAAGCTCTTCGACGGCGAGCCCGAAGAACCCAGGAAACGCAAACGTAGGCTGCCAGGAGTGGGCGCAGAGTGGAATCCCCCAGAGGATCCCGGCGAGTCAGTGAAGCGCTATATATCGCAGCTATAATGGACTACGCTTAGTGTGTCGATATGTTGTATGTTATATCGCGGTGTCTTCAGTTTCCAAGGGAGAAGGGCCCCCGGAGGTAGCGCCGGCGACGACGCGCCGTCTTCAGAGCCAACCTCCGGGGACCACGTCGAGGTCCTCGGCCGGGTGCGCGTCCTTGATAGACCGAGTGGCCGCACGTTGGACGACCTCCCGGGCGACCTCTCGCGCCACGCGAAGTCTAGGGTGCGGTTCGCGACCTGACCAGGGACCGCGGCCCGTCGCGGTCCCACCTGAACCGTCCTGATCGACCCGACCGTCCCAACCGACCTCCCACGGAGAACCGGATCGGCCGAAACAGTTCGTCGACCTCCATCAGGCAAACGCGTCGATCCGGTCGACCTCAGCAACAGAACGGAAGGCGAGGTCGCGTTCCAGAGGACCGCGCGAGAGGGACCGGGAGTCCCAGTGATAATCCACGAGGCATTCGAGAGAAGCTATAGAGCTTATTATACTTTACACGTGTACTATCGACTGTACAGAGTAGGAGAGAGCGTTCGAGGTCATCGGTGTACACCCCCCACCTACCACCCACCCGCGATACCCACACGTATACATCACACCCCTGCGTACACGTCACACGGTAGAGGGATAGGGAGTTTATTTTTTATGCTGAATAATATAGGAGTGCTTGCGTCGAAGTGATATGACAAATATTAGCGCGACGCCCCCGGCGTCTCGCGAGCGTCGCGACGGCCATTCGTCGGTGTGTTGCTGCGTTGAAGAAACGTGCATCGCGGTGCAGCCTTCCACTTCCGGTGGCGGAAATATATTGCGAGTCACGTAGAGCCTTGAATATTCGACCAGCGTGGTTTTAAGGGCAATTATTTAAGGGACAGTGGCAATTTTTTGCACCCTCGATCGTTACTAATACGATAAAGGAGGGTCAGAATTTCTAGCGCTTTTCGCGCCATTGTGAAATTCTCAGAATCGCGTGGTTTCGTGTAACAATAATTAATAATTGTAATAATTGAATCGGAGTACCTTGGATCGTTCTTCAAGAATATCTACGATTTTGAATAACCATTGTTCTTACGATTATCCGTGATTGCTAACGTTATCACCGACAACGAGTCGTTTCTCTCGATACGGGATACCAGAATCGATCGGCAACGCAGTCTTCGAGAAGCTCTCTTGAATTTATCTGATTTTTCTCAATCGTTCCGAAGGCAAAAGATGGCAGCCATCTAGCGTATTGTAGCGTTCGACAATTTGCGATCGTTTCGCGACGCTCGGCTGGACGCGCAGCACACACACCAACGAATAGCGATATTTGCTACTGTTGCTGGTTGCAGGGAATAGCATAGTAATTATATCCAGAGAGAGGAAGGAGCGGAGGGAAAAAAAAACTCGCACTCGCAGCGCCTAAGTTTGACCACTTGGTGGTCGGCTTCATCATTGCTCGCCCGTTCGTCCTTGCCCATCCGAAGACGTCCTCGTCGTCGTCGTGCAAACCGCTGTAATGGTCGTCCCGGGCACGACCGACCCAACTTCTGACACCCACTTGGCGAACTCAAGACTTCACCCTAACTGGTGAACCACTCTTCGATTTCTTCAGGTTCGAAGCCACCCTCTGCGTTCCAAGTTGCACCTCCGATCGCCTCAAGATTCGCGATCCGAACCTAGCTGGATCGCTCCAAACCTTATTCTCCGATATAGGAACAAACTAAACGAACGACATAGAAATTCTATAGTACATCAAATTTGCTACAGACCCATGGAAGGGCTTTCGTGTACCTCTTCAAGGCCGTTCCTCTAAACTCAGCAATCGATGGGAATTCCCCGCAGAGCTCATTATTCTCGCTTATGGGAATGTAGGATTCTTACCACTTTGTGGTCGTTGTCTGTGTCCTCGACCTCAACATCTATTGTTAGGATTCGGTAGTTCCTGCCAGTTATTGAAGATCTTGAAGATCTCTTACTCGGAGGTGCAACTCGACGCACAGGAGCCCGTTCTTCCGCACATCACGGGCTATTGGATTCCCGGGAACGGGTTTAAGGGACGTTTCCGAAGTAATCAGTGAAGTTACAATGTTCCTAATCGACTAGTAGTCGCCTTAGATGGTCGCCGAGGGCGACCCTCGTAGAGGGGAAGAGGCACACACGTGCACGTCGCCCAGTCCTCTCCTTTGTAGATCGCGAGAGACCTCGGCCTTGAAACTGCGATCCCGAGGAACCAGCGATGGGTCTCGGCGATGATAGACGCGACACGGGAGGGTCGGATCTCGGAGAGGGCAGAAATCGGCCAGAGAAAGGGTTAGGCGGGAAAGGAGAGCAATGGTGCACCGAGACTCGAGTTTCCGATGATTCGCCGTCGTGGTTGATCTCGAAGACGCTCGGCATCGAATCGTCGGCAGCGTCGCGAAGGCCATCGTAGCAGAGATTAAGACAAACTCGCGCGGGACCCAGGATGTTGTTTCTATAGTAAGCTAGCATTTGCAAGAGAATTAAGGAGAGCGACAAGAGAACGAGGAAGCTTGAAAGCGAGAGAATGAGAGAGCGCGAGAGGAGTGTCTGCACGCGTTGAGTCTCTTTAAGGGCCGTTAGAGTGGATTTTCTTTTCCAGAAACTGACTTTCCCGGACGCCAAGTTTGCGCCGATTAGACTCTCCGCCTTTCTCTTTGAAAGGGAAACTTTGGAAGATGGAAGAAGTCAGCCAAGAACCCGGAAATCGATTTCAAGTTGGAAATTCGGACGCGAAGTCGAACTTGTCGTTTTAGGATCTAACTTCTTTTCGGTTTATGCAGTTCTGGTCTTATTTCGATATCTTCTCGCAAGAACTGGCCACTTTGACGAAAGTTGGGCATGTCCGAGGAAAATAGGTGACGGAAGATGTTCTCACCTCTCGTGAAATCGGAAATCAATATCCGCCCTCGTGGCTCCTTAACGAGGGAACCATCGACGCCGCGGATTAGCGGCTGTATAAGTAAATCCGAGATTAATTTATAACGAGGTGTACCGAGCGCGAATGGAGGTGCGAATGAGAGCGAATCAGAAGGTACGAACGCCCTGTGTTGTACATAAGCGCGCGCTGAACCCCCGCCTTCACTATACTTATAAATATTATATATGTATAGCTATTATACATACGTATATGTAGTTACTATATCGTATCGTTATTCCCGCACTTTGCCGCATAGCGCGTTCCGCCGTGGAAAAGCGGAGACTTCAACGCGAGATATCACCGCGCCGCGCCTCGCACCGATCTCCACTTCTTAAGAACTTTCAAGAAAAAAGAAAAAAAAACGCTTCTTCACGATTACTCCATTACCCCCACCTTCTGTACTACCGAGTCCGAGGGTTACACAGGCCGGGGGCGAGTAAACCAAACTGTTTTTGCGACCGAGTCGAATTTCACGTCTTTTCAACTTGAAATTAACGTTTGATGAAAAGGAACGAATGTACCCTCCGCAGTGCGAGATAAATTACAGGTTCAAGCAGGAACTATTAAGCAGTTAAGAAATTAAGTAACCGAGGGGTGTAACGAATTCCAAAGCTAGAGAATTAATTTACCTTGCTCGCCCTCGCGCCGGCAGTAGAGTTTGATCGGGGAAGAAAGGGCCTTGAGGGAGGAAATTCTAAGTGAACATTTCCGAGTACCGTTTTCGAAAATTACAGACAATAGGGAAACGCTGCTCGACGGGCCCTTTTGTCGCGCCTCGAAAGAGCCGTAAAGTGTTATTAATAAAGGAGAAGGAAATAGAAACGAGCGATGAGGCAGACGTTATATGTACATATATTAGACGTGTAACTTAAGAGCGATCCAAGCAAGAGGGCGAAACTGCGAAAGTCCGGCATTTTTTGCGGCCAGAGGACACACGAAACTCACATCGGACACACACGTACACACGGATTATGAGAGGAAAAAAAAATAATAAAAACCGAGCACGCGATCCGCGTGGGGATTCACACGCGCATAGCTTAATTGTCATTCTAGGTGTTGATAAAGTCACCGCGAGTGGTAAGAATTCTAACAAGAGAGTACGGAAGCCCGCATTAACTGATCTAGCATAGCGAACTTACTTATATATTATTACTGTGACATGTAATACTCCTTAAGAAGAGGTGACGATGACGATGATAAAGAAATTCTACCGATACAGATAGGGAAGAGGTTGTTCTGCACAAACACGATGCTTAATAATTATATAGTATTTCGAAAATACTTCGACACGTCTCTTTCCCCTCCCACCGTCGGTCATTCTTCTATTTAACATTTTTTCACATCTAGTCAAAATGTACAATACGTTATTTCATGGCCATAAGATCTATGCACTTCATTTGACGGGGAAAAGGAAAATATAATTTACAATTCTCAAAAATGTTAGACATTTCAATCTTTATCTGTTCGATGTTTTCGATCACAACATTTTTTTCTCGACAATCGCGACTGATCTTCATCTTGGTTGGTAATGGGTAACGGGTGTCAACAGAGATGAGCAGAGATGAGTTGGGAGATTGCTCACGGGCAGGATCGTGCGATCGCATCCTGTGCTGCCCTCTGGTTTCGTACGTTAGCCGTCACCGTTTTTCGCCCCCAAGGGCGATGCAACGAATTTCTGACAGGGGTTCACGCACTCGCGATGGCGGTACCATCTACCAGTCGCCGTTGGCGGCTCACGCACTCGTCATGGTAATACCATGCGGCAGTTGACGGTGGAGGCTTATCTACGCTTACCAACACAGCTCGCTTTTGATGGTAAGGGAAGAACACTCGTGACGCTCCATTTGACTTTATCTACTTATCTACGACTATTAACACTATGCCGTCCGCGTGTCTAATCTAGATTTTTTCGTGTCGTGCCGGTGCAACTGACTTACATAATTTCGTGGCACCAACGTGGAGCCACCGGCACTTACCCGATAGTTTTTGCATGGCACAAACGTGGAGCCACCGGACGTCATAGTGTTAAGTACATTGTTGCCATGAAGTCGACGTGATGCGGAGCTTTGGGGCACACGTCGGTGTCGCATACGGAACTCTCATGCAGCGAATCTGTGTGAGTGCGATCGCTCCTAGAAATCTTCGCGCGTCTCAACCAGCCACGCGCCAAACTATTGGTCGAGACGTTGAGTATGTGTACGTTCGGCGCTACACTCGACGAGTATGCGTTAGAGTCGAATACTGCGAAAAATCTTCCCGAGACTTACCTAACCGCGGATATAAGTCGAGTCATTTCGCGTATGATTTTTACATATCCCTACTAGCATTATCGAGCGTTTTCAAGCGTTTTTAGAGCGCTTTTGAGCGTTATCTAGCATTATCGAGCGTTATCTAGTATTATCGAGCGTTTTTCGAGCACTTTCAAGCGTTTCTAGAGCGTTTTCGAACGTTTTCGAGCGTTATCTAGGGTTATCGAGCATGTTCCGAAAGTTTTCGAACGTTTTCGAGCGTTTTCGAACGTTTTCGAGCGTTATCTAGGGTTATCGAGCATGTTCCGAAAGTTTTCGAACGTTTTCGAGCGTTATCTAGGGTTATCGAGCATGTTCCGAAAGTTTTCGAACGTTTTCGAGCGTTTCTCGATCATTTTCAGAGCGTTTTCGAACGTTTTCACGCATTTTCACAGCGTTTTGGAGTGTTATCGAGTGATATTCTACTGTTTTCGATCGTTATCGAGCGTTTTCACGCATTTTTCGAGGGTTTCTCGACCATTTTCGAGCGTTTCTCGATCATTTTCAGAGCGGTTTCGAGCGTTTTCGAGCGATTTCAGACCGTTTTTTAGCGTTACCGAGCATTTGTCAACCGTTTTCGAGTGTTTTTAGAATCTTTTCGAGCGTTTTTAGAGTGTTTTGGAGCATTATCGAGCGTTCTTCGAGCGTTTTCGCGCGTTTCTCAAGTGTTTTCGAGCCTTATCGAAGGCCGTCCAGTGCCGTTGAGTGTTGTTAAGTGCAGTAGAGTGCAGTAGAGTGCCGGAGAGTGCCGGGGAGTGCCGGAGAGTGCCGGAGAGTGCCGGAGAGTGCCGGAGAGATGTCGGAGAGTGCCGGAGAGATGCCGTAGCGTGCCGGAAAGTGCCGGAGAGTTGCCGCAGAGTGCTGGAGAGGGCCGGAGAGGGCCGCAGAGTGCCGGAGAATGCCGTAGCGTGCCGGAGTGTGCCGGAGAGTATCGCAAAGTGCCGGAGAGTTGCTGGAGAGTGATGCAGAGTGCCGGAGAGATGCCGGAAAGGGCCAGAGAGTTGCCGCAGAGTGCCGAAGAGGGTCGGAGAGTGACAGAGAGGGCCGGAGAGTTGCCGGAGAGTGCCGGAGAGATGTCGTAGCGTGCCGGAGTGTGCCGGAGAGATGTCGTAGCGTGCCGGAGTGTGCCGGAGAGTGCTGGAGAGTGACGGAGAGTGACGGAGAGTGCCGGAGAGTTGCTGGAGAGTGCCGGAGAGTGCCGGAGAGTGCCGGAGAGTGCCGGAGAGTGCCGGGGAGTGTCGGACAGTGCCGGAAAGTGCCGGAGAGTGCCGGAGAGTGCCGGAGAGATGCCGTAGCGTGCCGGAAAGTGCCGGAGAGTTGCCGCAGAGTGCTGGAGAAGGCCGGAGAGTTGTCGGAGAGTGCCGGAGAATGCCGGAGAGATGCCGTAGCGTGCCGGAGTGTGCCGGAGAGTTGCTGGAGAGTTGCCGGAGAGTGCCGGAGAGATGCCGTAGCGTGCCGGAAAGTGCCGGAGAGTTGCCGCAGAGTGCTGGAGAGGGCCGGAGAGGGCCGGAGAGTTGTCGAAGAGTGCCGGAGAATGCCGGAGAGATGCCGTAGCGTGCCGGAGTGTGCCGGAGAGTACCGCAAAGTGCCGGAGAGTTGCTGGAGAGTGCCAGAGAGAGCCGGAGAGTGCCGGAGAGTGCCGGAGAGTGTCGGAATGTGCCGGAGAGTTGACGCAGAGTGCCGGAGAGTACCGGAGAGGGCCGGAGAGTTGCCGGAGAATGCCGAAGAGATTCCGTAGCGTGCCGGTGTGTGCCGGAGAGTACCGCAAAGTGCCGGAGAGTGTCGGAGAGTGCCGGAGAGTTGCTGGAGAATTGCCGGAGAGTGCCGGAGAGATGCCGTAGCGTGCCGGAAAGTGCCGGAGAGTTGCCGCAGAGGGCCGGAGATTGCTGGAGAGTTGACGGAGAGTCCCATAGAGTCCCGTAGTGTCCCCTAGAGTCCCGTAGAGTCCCGTAGAGTGCCAGTAGAGTCCCGTACAATCCCGTATAGTCCCGAATAGTCCCGAATAGTCAAGTGGAGTCCCGCAGAGTGCCGCAGAGGGCCGGAGAGTGCCGGAGAGTGCCGCAGAGTGCCGGAGATTGCTGGAGAGTTGACGGAGAGTCCCATAGAGTCCCGTAGTGTCCCCTAGAGTCCCGTAGAGTCCTGTAGAGTCCCGTAGAGTGCCAGTAGAGTCCCGTAGAGTCCCGTAGAGTCCCGTAGAGTGCCAGTAGAGTCCCGTAGAGTCCCGTAGAGTCCCGTACAGTGCCAGTAGAGTCCCGTAGAGTCCCGTAGAGTCCCGTAGAGTCCCGTAGAATCCCGTAGAGTCCCGTCGAGTCCCGTAGAGTGCCAGTAGAGTCCCGTAGAGTCCTATAGAGTCCCGTATACGTGCCCTAGAGTTCACCAGAGTTCCCTAGAGTACCCTAGAGTGCCGTAGGGTCACGGTCACCTGACTTCCGTGACTCCGGACATGTCGCGTGAAGTCGCGTGAAGTAGCGTGAAGTAGCGTGAAGTCGTGTGAAGTCGCGTGAAGTCGCGCGAAGTAGCGTGAAGTCGTGTGAAGTCGCATGAAGTAGCGTGAGGTAGCGTGAGGTAGCCTGAAGTAGCGTGAGGTAGCGTGAGGTAGCGTGAGGTAGCGTGAACGTGACTCTACGGCACTCCACGGGACTCTATGGGAGTCTACGGGCACTCTACGGGAATCTACGGGACTCTACGGGACTCTACGGGACTGTGCGGGACTCTGCGGGACTCTACGGGACTCTACGGGGCTCTACGGGACTCTACGAGCACTCCACGTGCACTCTACGGGATTCTACGGGGCTCTACGGGACTCTACGAGCACTCTACGTGCACTCTACGGGATTCTATGGGACTCTAAGGGACTCTACAGGGCTGTACGGGACTCTACAGGACTCTGCCAGAATCTACGGGCACTCTGCAGGACTCTACGGGACTCTACGGGGCTCTACGGGACTCTACAGGACTCTGCGGGCACTCTACGGGACTGTGCGGGACTCTCCGGGACTCTCCGGCACTCTCCGGCACTCTGCGGCAACTTTCCCGCACTCTCCGGCACTCTGTAGCAACTCTCCAGCACTCTCCGGCACTCTCCGGCACTCTCCCGCACTCTCCCGCACTCTGCGGCATCTCTCTGGCACTCTCCGGCAACTCTACGGCACTCTGCGGCAACTTTCCGGCACACGCCGGCACCCTCCGGCCCTCTCCGGCACTCTCCAGCTACTCTCCGGCACTCTCCGGCACTCTCCGGCGCTCTCCAGCAACTCTCCGGCACTCTCCGGCACTCTCCGGCACTCTCCAGCACGCTGCGGCACTCTCCGGCAATCTCCGGCAACTCTCCGGCACTCCCCGGCACTCTCCAGCAACTTTCCGGCACTCTGCGGCACCCTGCGGCACTCTCCGACAAATCTCTGCACTCTCCGTCACTCTCCGGCACTCTGCGGCACTCTTCGGCCCTCTGCGGCACTCTGCGGCACTCTCCAGCAACTCTCCGGCACTCTCCGGCCCTCTCCGGCACTCTCCAGCAACTCTACGGCATTCCCCGACACTCTCCGTCACTCTCCGTCACTCTCCGTCACTCTCCGGCACTCTCCGGTACTCTCCGTCACTCTCCGGCACTCTGTGGCCCTCTGCGTCACTCTGCGGCGCTCTACCACACTCCGCGGCATCTCTCTGGCACTCTGCGGCAACTCTCCGGCACTCCTCGGCACTCTCCGGCAACTTTCCGGCACTCTGCGGCAACTCTCCGGCACTCTTTAGCAATTTTCCGACACTCTCCGGCACTCTCCGGTACTCTCCGTCACTCTCCGGCACTCTGCGGCACTCTGCGGCACTCTCCGGCACTCTCCGGCAACTCTGCGGCACTCTCCGGCAACTCTCCGGCACTCTACGGCACTCTACGGTACTCTCCGGCAACTCTCCGGCACTCTGCGGCACTCTGCGGCAACTCTCCGGCTCTCTCCAGC